GCCCCTTTGTCACCTCCTTAACCCTGGGTTTGGGAGAGGGAGGAAGTGCTGGGGACGTGCTGGGGTCGCTCACCACAGCTTAGGGATGGCTTTTGGTGCTTTCATTACAAAGGAAGATGCAGACCAGAAAAAGCACAGGTATTACTGGTAACCTTGAGGGCAAAACTGCTTAATTTTCCACTAAAGACATCCAATAAGGCCCCAACATTTGAATTTTCTGTGCTACAAACTGAAAAGTCTACTGGGTTTTTGGATGTTTCCTCTTAGACTTGACTTCAAATACTGAATTAGGTTGGCTCTGGGGAGAAACACTAGAGGATTCATGAATTATTCAATTCCTCCTCAGGGTCTTTGCAAGCTGGGCTCAGCAGGAGGGACAGACTATGGGCTGCGGCAATTTGCTGAGGGCTCCACGGAGAAACTTGCCAGGCAGTGCCGAAAGTGAGTTGTACCTTGGCTTTAGTTCTGTTATTCCCAACTTTGCAAAACATAACGTGCTCCTCCCTGGCTTCATTCCCTGCTGCGGAAATGCCTGCAGGGAGAATCATAGAATCAAAGAATCATTAGGGTTGGAGAGGACCTCTAAGATCCCTAAGTTCAAACCTAACCCATCCCACCATGCCCACATCCCTCAGTGCCACATCTCCACAGTTCTTGAATACCTCCATGGATGGTGACTCCTCCACCTTCCCAGGCAGCCTGTGCCACTGCATTACCACTCTTTTGAAGAAGTTTTCCCCAATATCCAACCTGAAAACCTCCCCTGGAGCAATTTGAGGCCGTTCCCTCTTGTCCTATTGAAAGAAAAGTTCTTGTCCTGAGGGACCCATAGGGAGTTGTAGTAGAACCCAAATGCAGGCTCAAGCCTAAAATGTTCTCAGCTCATTTTTCTTCCTTCCTCTTTTTCCAAAGAAATCAGTCCTGGCTCTTGAGATAAATGCAGATTTCTCTCTTCCAGGTGGTTGTGCAACACCAGCATTGATGCCCGCACCAGGAAGTGGGCTGTGGAAGGACTGGCATATCTGACCCTTGATGCAGACGTGAAAGATGACTTTGTGGAAGATGAGCAAGCCCTGCAAGCTATGTTTGAGTTAGCCAAGGTTCTACCCCCTTACATTGTTCTCTCATCCCTCTTGTAGCATCAGGCTCTCCAGAGCAACACTATCTCCCTAAGCAGGAGCAGTTCTGACCCCAAACCCTCACTTCTAGTTTAGAAGTTCAGTTTTGTATGTGCTGCTGAGATACCCAAAACTTGTTATCAACAGATAAGAGCAGAAGTTTGCTCTTAACCTTTATTGCCAGCAACTGTAATAGGTGTTACCACATGAAAACCAAAGGCATCAAGGTTCTGACACCATCTGATGGGACTGTGTCCTGTTTGACCATAAACTTCAGTTTTTCCCTCACCTGGGGATAAGCCAATGAGCATTTCAACTAGGACTTTTATTTCTCTGTGCAGACAAGTGACAAGACTATCCTGTATTCTGTGGCTTCTGCGCTGGTGAACTGCACCAACAGCTACGATACAAAGGAGCTGGTCCCAGAGCTGGTGCAATTGGCCAAATTCTCCAAGCAGCATGTGCCTGAGGAGCATCCCAAGGTAGGGTGCATGTGGCCAGGAGGTGCTCAGGTCTGAAGATTTTAGATGTTAAATGAAAGTTCCATACTCAGAGGGAGGTGATGCAATGAACAGGCTGTCCAGAGAGCTGGATGCCCCATCCCAGGAGATGCCTAAGGCCTGGGCAGATGAGCTGGTAGGGGGCAACGAGCCCATGGGGCTTGGAACTATGTGATATTGAAGGTCCCTTCCCAAACCATTCTGTGATGATTTTCTTTGGTCTATTCATTGTCACAGCCACCAGGTCTCTTGGTTCCCAGCCTATCAGGCTGAAACTGCTTTGGTCCCCAGCAGGATGGCAGCTGCTAGGGGCTAATCCCTTTGCCATGTCCTCCCTTCTGCAGGACAAGAAGGATTTTGTTGTGAAGCGAGTGAAGCGGCTGCTAAAAGCTGGTGTTGTCTCAGCCCTGGCCTGCATGGTGAAAGCTGACAGTGCCATACTGACAGACCAGAGCAAGGAGCTCATCGCCAGGTGCCTGCTGGGCTGCTGGGCTTTGCCTGGGATAGAGTTAATTGCAAAACCTTTGTCCTGTCCCGCGAGGGAGGTGGGTTACTGCTGTTCCAGTGAGCGATGCTGTGTTTTTGCAGGGTGTTCCTCGCGTTATGTGATGACCCCAAGGACCGTGGGACCATTGTTGCTCAAGGTGGTGGAAAGGTGATTCCTCTTCTACCTGCAGCCCAGCCTGACATGCATTAAATGTCTGTTGGGATCCTGCAGTGAGGGGAGGTGGCATTTAATGCTTTCCTGTGTGTTAGGCCCTGATACCTCTGGCTGTGGAAGGCACAGATGTTGGCAAGATAAAAGCTTCTCACGCCCTGGCAAAAATTGCTGCTATCTCCAATCCAGACATTGCATTCCCAGGAGAGAGGGTAAGTTTTAAAATAAAAAAGAGGTGAGAAACCACTTGTTTTGTTGCTTTTCTTTTTTCAAATGAAAATTACCAATATCTGAGAGCTGGAAAATTAGTATACCTCTTGTTCTCAGGTGTATGAGGTGGTGAGGCCCCTTGTCAGCTTGCTGAACACCGAGAGAGATGGCCTCCAGAACTATGAGGCTCTCCTGGGACTCACTAATTTTTCAGGAAGAAGTGATAAGCTTAGGTGAGTGCCGCTGCTTTTTGGGCTTCTTCATTGCCCAGCTGCTTTATCAGGAGTGATTCTGAATTTTACTTCAATGCTTTTCTCATAGAATTGGGAAGAGTGGTTAATTCGAGCTGCCTTTGGCAGAGCTATAAAGGTCTCTGAACAAAAAGATTCATAAAATATCCAGTAAGAAGTGTTTTTCCTCTGGAAAGAGGAAAAATTGTGTGAATTCAATTTGCATTAGGTAAGGAGTAAACCGCATATCATGAGTCCTAGTGCTGTGGGCAGATTTATTTCAAGCCCCCCCATGTCTCTCATCTGTCTGCAGTTAATGTTTTAGGTTGATTATAGGACAAGAGAAAATGGTTTCAAACTAATGTAGGGCAGATTTAGGTTGGATGTAATGAAGAAGTTTTTACAATGAGGATGGTGAGGTACCACATAGGCTGCTGAGAGTAGGGCTGATGCCAGCCCCTGCAGACCCCCAGGATCAGGCTGGAGGACTCTGAGCACTGATGGAGCTGTGGGTGTCCCTGTGCACTGCAGCAGTGGGACCAGATGACTTCTGGGAGTCCCTTTGAACTCCAACCATTTCTATGATTATCACATCTCATGATGTGTTTTGATTCTTCTTCAACACAGGATGAAAATAGTCAAGGAAGGGGCACTGCCAGACATTGAAAACTATATGTTTGAGAACCATGACCAACTCCGACAGGCAGCCACGGAATGCATGTGCAACCTGGTGGTCAGCAAGGAGGTAATCACATTTCAGGTCTGGCTGCGTGCAGCAGCTCCTGAGCCACCTTGATGATGCATTGACACTGCGTTGTCTCTGGATTCTGTGACTTTTTTTCAGGTTCAAGAGCGGTTTGTGGCTGATGGAAATGACCGGCTGAAGCTGGTGGTGTTACTGTGTGGTGAGGATGATGAAAAGGTCCAGAAAGCAGCAGCAGGAGCCCTGGCCATGCTTACAGCAGCACAAAAGAAACTCTGCTCAAAGATGACTGAAGTGGTAAGACCATAAGCCTAATTACCAACAGTGTAGGCATAATCTTGAATGCTTCTCTTAAGGAAGATATAGTCCATCAGTTGTCCAGTGAGGAACTTAGTGTGCATGCTCCTTGTTCATCCCACAGAAAGTAAAGCAACTTTTGTTAAGCCAGCTTCCAAGGCTTCATCTTAGAGATGAAACCATTAATCCATAGCTATTCTTCAAGTAAAGCCCAGCATATAAGCTGTCAAGCAAGGTTAGGAATGCAATGTTGCGCCTTTAAAACTTGGTTTAGGTTGAGGTATTCTTCAGACCAGTACTAACAACATTTCCCTTCCTTGAAGACCACCCAGTGGCTTGAAATCCTGCAGAGGCTCTGCTTGCACGATAACATGGAAGTGCAGCACCGTGGACTGGTCATCGCTTTCAATTTAATCAGTGCCAGCAAAGAGCTGGCAAAGAAACTGGTGGAGTCAGAGCTCCTGGAGATCCTGACATTTGTTGGCAAACAAGAAGATGACCCCAAGAAGCAGCATGTAATTAACGCAGCACGTGATTGTCTCACAAAGTGCATGGATTATGGGCTGATCAAACCTCTCTCTCGAGCATGAGGAAATGGAAAGTACCGAAAAGGGCTGGGTGGGGAAAAAAACTGACTGAGAAATGTGAAGAACAGAGCCATGAAGAAAACTTAACCCCATTGCCAAGGCAAGGAATAGAGCTTGGGGAGAGTTTTGAGGGATTGGTGTTTGGAAAAGGGGGCATTTGCATCAGAAATTTAGAAAGCATCCATCTGAGCTCAAAATGGTGTAAATCCATTCATTGCCCCCATTCAGTTCTGCAACCATTCACAGCTCCTAGTACCATGATAGCACCAGGTTTAATTGCCTCCCATCCCGTGGTTAGAAAATAAATTGCATGCTTTTCTTTGTACTTTTAAATGGCTTTAAGCAGTGTGCCAGTGTGTGAGGGCAGTGGATGAACTCTTAATAAATTCACTACTTTGCTCCATGTAGAATCTCTGCTGCTTTGTTTTAATCAAGCAAATGAATGGTCAAGGGCAATACTCAGTTGCAAAGTTACAATATACAGAGCAATCTAGAATAATCAGTTTGTGGCACAAACTAAATCACACCAGTTTCAGAATATCTAACAACACTCAAAAGAATGTGCAAAGATGTGAAAATCAGCTAGATGAAGAGGCAGCGCTAATGAGATAAGCTAAGGTTCACACCATGAACATACAGAGGGCCCAACAGGGAATACTGAAAATATCTGATGAATGAAGAACAAGAAGCCACCAGTTGGCAATCATGTTACAATTTTATTGTATAAATATCTGCAATCTGCATAGATTCTCTGTGCATGTTATGCATAACACAAATAAGAGACCCTTGCTTTAGTCTGCAGCAGGAGAACAGAAATCTAAGTGCACAGTAAATATGATATTCTGCAGCGATCTGAAAGTACATTAAAATATTTCTGATCATAGTAAATGTTAGTGACATTCCTGTGATAAGCATGGCACGATTAAGTGATTGACATGTGGAAGACAAGAAAGGAATTGTGCAGATAGTCTTCCCTAGTTAATGACTAAGGGAAAAAAGAAGATACCTCCAGCTTCCAGAAGTAAAAGAAGCAAGAATGTTTGAGCTAATAGGTTTGACAGTCTGGAGGCAAATTTACTTCAAGGCTGATTCTAGATGGGTACTATGCCTTATTTTAACTCTATCTAATATAATCATTGGTGTCTTGTAATCATAAAGGGATTGTAATAGACTCTTCTTCCAACCAGCTGAGCCGCAGGCCATTTTGTAGTGGAAAACAGTATGAAGGTCCATGGCTTGTCCTCAACCAGCCTTCAATTTTAGATATCCAGTTTTAGGAATTTTAGATCTTTTCTTTGAAAGGACTTTGCATTTAGCAGTTTTGCCTCACTGGCATGTTTGAAACCAAGACAGAAGTGCTACTGATACCTAAGGTCAGTAATGCAAAGCTGTTAGAACTAGGTGGTTCTAACCCATAGTGACTTGCTAAAGTTGAGTGGGAAGGTATCTCGTAAATGCTATTTCTGTGTATATTAGTTCAAATATGGACAGAAGGCTTCATTTTCTACTTCCCTGGGCATCTGAGTTGATTTTTTATTTTTATTTTTTTAATAAAAAAAGGCTTTTAATTCTGGATGCCTGAGCTGTCCAGTATTTTTTTTCTGAGCAGTACTATTGGTGTAAGAGTAAGCTTCTTCCATGTCCCAGTACTCACGTAATAAGTGCATATTTAAATTAGCTCTGGATGCTACAGATACTAATATATTATTTAAAACTTCATGTTGTGTGGGAAGGGGATAAGGAATAATAGCAAACACAATCATTCTTTCTAAGCCAGAGAAACGACGGAAGCTGTCTAGAATAGTGTACTCCTCTAGCCCTTCATTCATTTTTCTTGGTAATATATTTGACTTCCTCAATTCTTTTCTCAGTATTTCACTGTATGCCAATACTTTGTCACTGTTGTAGCACAGAATAGCTATATCTTTCTCAGAGTAACCACTTTTAAGATAATTATGACAATGCTTTGCCACATACTCTGCTATTTCATTTCTGTCTGTCATACGTACTTCTTCAAAGAAGCCTTTGACACCATGAACACATGTGGCTGAATCTAACAACCTCCGTAAACGTGCTTGTGGAATACCTACAGTAGGATTTTCTACAATCTCTTCCATTGTGTTCTTTAGATAGCAATAGATACTGTTAGCATTACGAACCACCTTGGTTAGCATCTCCACAGGATCATGCTGTCTTGGTTCTGGAAGACCAGTGGAGAAACAGTGAGTTGTCTGCAAGTAGTCCAAGAAAATCCACAGAAAGCCAGGCTCAGAGAGCTCTGGTGATGAAGTCAAATCCAATGCCTTTTGGTACCAATCACCATTCTCATTTCGGAAATTCTGTGCTTCATCAATTATTATGTGCTTCACATAACTATAGCTGTTCTTCAAAAAGGCTACTCTTGTCACAGCTTGGCAGATGTTCTTCTTTCTGCAGAAGAAATGCAAGTGGATTTAAAACAGTCTCTGTGCATGGTAAAGTACTAGTTATACTTGATCAGAGCAAAATAACGCCAATGGTATTTTAATCACATTTACTACTAGATACTAGGGATGTCAAGAGAAAAAAAAATAAACCTTACTAAAAATACGTTCCAAATACACATATCAAAAACTGCAGTGGTGATGGACACCTAGCACACCAGATCTAATCGGTGCTCAGCTATTTTAAAGTGTTGGTCAAATAACATATTGAAAAAATAACAGGAGTTAAGACTTACCTCACAAAATCTTTCAGAGGTTTGTTCTCACATATGTAAAGAACCTCCTGTTGTTTGCATTTAAACATATTTCTTATTTTCTCTATGACTTTGAGGGCCACAACAGTTTTTCCTGTTCCCGGTAGACCATAAACATACAGCTTCTTAGTTTTGTGGAGATTTTCTGACAGTAGCTGGTATTGTTCAATGGTCAAGAGGTTCAAAAATTCAAAGCCAACAGAGTCACTCAAGAAAGATTTGAAATTCAGCAAAACTATGATGAGAGAATGCAAGAGGTTTTTCAAGTTGACACTGTTGATTAAGCCGTAGTTTTGAGGATACAGTTTTTGAACATTCAGATCCCATTCCTCTCCATAGTTATAGCTGGGAGGCAAAGTCAGTAGCTTTGGTATTACACACAGTTTGTGAGTATAACCTCCAGTGTTGACTAATTTCTCCTTCAGCCTCCAGGCTGTGCGTCTTGAGTAGTGAAATAAGTCCTCAGAGATATGTTTACATACTGTATAGAGGATAGGTGGCCTACCCTTGGCTACTAGGAGAACATCACAGATTATGCCTTGGTTTTCTGACAAGCCAACCTCAACAGCCCAGCTTCTGGAAAATATCACAACTCCTTCAAAAACATCCTTCAACTGTTCATCCATTAAACTCTTCAGCCCTTGGTGCTCTTGGAAGAGATCTTTAATGAGTTTTTCTGGAGCATATGTTAGGCTGTGGGATTTCACTATCAATGCAGAGCACAAGAAATACTTGGTGTTAATATAAAATATAAAAATCCAGCCCTCTAAAATGATGCTGAGAGGATTAATACTGGTGGAAGTCCACAAATACAGATCCTAGCTGCCTGAAAGCCCTTTTCATGTGTTTCTAGATTTTTTTTTTTTTTTAATACTGAGTTATCTGATGATGCAGTATTTACATTTCCTACCCAGGTCACAGTTCTTTTACTAAAGATGCCAGCACAGGGCCAGCTTATTCCTGCCAAGCTTAGGTAAACCAGCCCAGCAGACAGATTAACAAACAGCTCAGTAGAAAAGCCCCGGGACATCTGGCTGATCTTGCAAGGCCACAGAAATTCTTCTCTCTTCCCAGGCCCTGTCATTTTACATATTTTGGGCTGATTCCAAGTGAACTTACCCTACTATCTTTCCCACTTCTCAGTAGACTGTGAAAAATTGGCACAGCCATGCTCTGTCTCCAGAGATGTTCAGCTAGCTGAGCTCCATCATGTATACATGTCAGTATCTGGAAGATATCAGTCCTCGGGGAAGGGGCACCAACCTTTGGATGCAATGTTGCCATCAGATCTGCAAACCATTTCCATCTCCCTCACCTGTTTAAATACTTTCTTCAAACTCCTTGATCACATCCTTGGTATTCATCTTGTAGACCTACCAGTCACTGAAAGCAATGCGTATACCTACCTGGAAACAGTTGCTCACAAAGATCATCCAGGCTGTCAAGGCCCTGGCGTGAGTAAACTGACTTGGCACAGGGTGGCCCCCCTGTCACACTGAGCTCTAGCTTAAAGGTCTCAGAAAATTCTGATAGATCTGGAAAAGAGAAATGAAAACATGATATGGCACGAGCTGTCGCTGCCTCTTAGTGCAAGGTGTACAACCATCCTCACGCTGGTTTTAAACCTTTTATTCTTATTTAAAATAACAAATGTGATAAATAAACAGAAGGAGTGGACAACAGCTGATTAGCAGTGAATAGACTCCAGTTACAGATCATGGAGTTGTTCTTGGTCTTCTTATCTCTTTAACTTCTGTTGTGATCTCTGGCTCTATTAGTGATGCTCCTTTCATTGCCCAAGAACTGGCCAATGAACAATCTGTCTACAGCTTTCTGCCTGCCAGGCTGATAGCAACACTGGGGAAAGATCCTAAAAGGCAGGAGGACCAAGACAGTTTGGACCAAATCCAACCTAAAGAAAACCGAAGGAAATACCAAAATCAGAAGTGGATTATTCTGAGTCTTATGGACCTGGATCAGCAGAGATCATCCACGCAGCCCATTCATTTGCTTTCAGTCTCCTGACAGTGCCTCCGTCGAACAGCCATGACTGCGGATCTTCTGAAAACACTGCACAAGTAAACGGTTCAACCTTCACAGCACAGACATAGCCACAGTGCTCTACAGCCTCCTTATACACTCTGAAGATTTTGTATTCACACCTTATCTGGTGTTCACATCCACTTTTGCAGAAATGGAATATGGTTAATTTTTCCTGATGAACAGAATCAATTAGGTTTCTTAATTTTTCAAGGTCTTTATCATCACTTTTGAATCCCTGTACGACCCTGTTATCATCCACACCAATCCATAAATACCCGCCACGTGCATTTGCAAATCCAGAGATGTACTGAGGTAATATCTCTTTAACACGAGTTAAAAATTTTTCAGTGGAAAAGTGCTTAAATTCTATGTTCCCTGACTCTGTGAAATTCAATGTCTCTCCACACTGCAGTTGGTCCCTCTTAAACAATTCAGCAACAGTGTTATTTACAATATGCATGTCTTCTTCAGCAGCCATTGTCTTCTTTTTTTTAGCAGGTGCTTGTGTGCTATGTTCTGTCCTAGCTTCATTTTGCTTTTCTTCAAGGAAAAACAAAGCTTCAGTAGGGGTCATGTGGGAAAGAGAAGCACCACTTCTTGTATACAACCCACTGCTGAGGCTACAGATACGTGGCTTCACAGAACTAGAGGTTGAGGATATCTTTTCGCTGTTCCATGTTTTAATAAAAATCAAAAGGTTATTTTCCTGCTGTTCAAAGTCCAGGTATTTTGTCAAGTCCGGAAATAAAAGAAGAGAACGAAAAATATCTTGTAAATCCAGTCCGATCTCATCTCTCTGTAAGTCGTAGTTTTCATTTTCTATCTCTGCTTTTACCACACCTCCTCCAGAGTTTAGCAAGGCACACACTGCAGAGGCAAGGATGTGTTTTTGATCTTGTTTTGAATCTTTTGGCATCTTTTTTCTTGCTTTCTCACCAAAAGTTATTTTTCCAACACACAAAACTACTTCAGGATACTGTGTTGCTGCATCAACCCGGACCAGCTGCTGCAGTTCATCATCTTTAAGAGCCATTTTGTGCCTGGAACAATTGTTAAAAAAAAAAAAAAAAAACTGCTTACCATTTATATCAAAACATCACACTTCCAAATGCTCCCCAAAAAAACATCAGCTTGACAGCAGCTACTCTCCAAACAGCAAATACAGAGATGAGAGATTAAACAAATTATAATAATTTGTTCCCCCAAATGGGTCCCAACCTTTGGTTTATGGGAGATTTTGTGCTTTCCCCATGCTGCTTCCCCTATTCACAGTGCCAGCAGCCTGCATCGCCCAGAGCAGCAGCACCACTGCACAGCAGCAGGGAGTTTCCACCACTTCCAAAACAGAAAGTTTGCCTAAAATCCACAGGCCACCATCTGTCTCTTCCCTTACATCCAGTCTCAGCCTCCTCTCTGTTAAATGGAAGCCATTTCCCCTTGTCCTGTCTCCTTTCTCACAGCCCCTTGAGATACAGGAAGAAATCACAAGCGAGCAACTGTAACTATTGTACCAAGTCACGGGCATGCTTTTCCTTTCAAAGCACTTTCTATTGGGCTGATGGGATAATTTTTTTTAATTATTATTTTTTGCAGTTGTTATTTTCCTGTTTTTATTCAAAGGAATACAAAATCTCACTGTTCCCATTTCCAAAGAAAAACTCGCTACGCAATGGCCTCACAGCACGGCCCCGCACCTCAACCGCGCAAGGCAGGAAACGCTCGCGTCGGCGCCTCGCCTTCCTATTGGCGAGCGGCCGAGTCAGTGAGTAGAACCGCGTGTTGCCATTGGATGTGAGCCGGCGGGGGGGCGGGACAAGGCGGTGAGTTCCTGCTGGGCGCGTGGGGTCCGGGTGAGCGGGGCGCTGAGGGGAGCGGGGGAAGGAAGCGCTGCAGGGCGGGTGCGGGGCTTGGGAGGCGATCGGGGGACTCAGGGGAAGGGATCAGGGCCTGGCTGGTAGGGATGAGTGCGCGGAGGAGATGGGAGCTGCAGTGCTGATGGGTGGCTTGCGGGGGAGGGTCGGATTAAGGTAGGCCTGGGGGTCCTTGGAAGGCTGCTGCGGGGTTCTGTGGCAGGGTTTTCATCCGCTGTTCAGCCTGGTGCTGGGCCTTCCTGGCACCTCAGCTCGTGGTTACTGTATCTTACCTGCAAAGCATGCTTTAGCCTCTTAACTGTAAGAGTAAGCACTGCTAAGGAGATAGAAAATGCTGCACCTGTGGATGAGTAACACAAGTCAGTTCCTTCTGCCTGTTGCACTCCTGTTTGTGAGGCGGAGTTTTAATTAAGTTTGAAGCCAATGGAGCAGCAGTAAAAGGGACAGCAATAAAAGGGGTCTTTGTGTGCAGCAGGAGACATGCTGGTTGAGCAGCAGTGTTCAGGAAGAAGTGGAGAGTTTTTCCTTCTCCATTTCTAATTTGGCTTTGTCACACATGCAGCTGAACACACAAGCTCTATGAAGGAGTGAAAGCCAGCACACTGATGGCACAAAGTACCATCTCTACAGCACTGCTGTGTCAGGGAACTGAGTATAAATAACAAGCAGGTAGACCAACAGTTATATACAGAAGGAAAAGTCAACTCACCCAGCTAGTGAAGGGGCCCTCTGGCTATGCAGCACTCCTTCTCAAACAGCAGTCTAAGTCCAAAAGATGGTTTCCTTTCTTTGGCTGGCTCTTATATACGCTACCCAGGTCCACCCCTCCTGGTCACGTGGGGAGGATAGGTGCAATCTGTGCTCCCTGGACCAGCCACAACCCTCCATTAGGTGCTCAGTCATTACGTCAAGCGTTGGACAGACATGATGGTGTTTTGTTTTTGTTTTCCTTCCTTTCTTCTTTTCTAGAAGCAAACAAGCACCTGGAACTAGAACTTTTCTGTCCTAATTTCTGTCCTAGGAGCAAATTTCTTGTTGAATGGAAACAGATTTGACCAAAGCAATGATGAGTGAAGTATTCTCTGAACTGGTATTGCTGAGACTTTTTGTCTTTGCTCTGACCAGGGCGTGATCACGTAATCTTCTCTCTGAGCTTATTTAGGCTAAGCTCTTCTAGAGCAGTTTGCTGCTGCTTGAAATCCAAAAAAATAGTGAGGAAAAAAGATTCATAATGTTTTGTTTTTTTTTTTTAGTAGTAGAAAAAGTATTGATTTGAAAACTGGGTTGTGCAAATAGCTGTTTGGATTTGTGTATCTTGCTGCAATACCAGATTTAGTACAGAATTTGCAGTGAGAGAGGTTTCTTGGCTTTTCTCCTATGTGTGACATGGCTTTCAGACCTCCAGGTGCTACAGCTTCTGTATCCTCTGCGCTTATAAATGCAATGTAGACTCTGTAAAATGAAGTTTGACATTTTTTCTGGTAAAGAACTCATTAGCAGTTGTTTCAGCCCTGTTATCATCTAGTGATCGCTGGCATTGATGCAGCGAACAGCATTTTTAGAAGTGAGTTCTGTTGTCAGAGTGGCCCTGGTGCTCTGCTCTCATGCTGTCTGTTGGGTGTGAGATGGAGACGAGCTGGTGAAGAAGTCATACAGCTGCTTCTCTTCTGGTAGGGCTGAGGATGTTGAAATGCAGCTATTAGAGAAAGAATATGCCTGATGTAGCTCTTCATTGGAGATGGTTTTTACTACATGTGGATTTTCAGAAAGAAAATTACTGACTTCTCTGATGTCGTGAGACCCTCTAAAAGATTACTTGGGTTCATAGGTACCTATTGAGGTACCCAGAAAAAGTGACACCCAGAATGCCTGGTAGGTGCTGAGGGGGTTTAATTTCTATTTTTGAAAACACAGCAACTTTTCACTGACACCTGATTCAGTAGTTAGGAATTAGTGATGGGCTGTACTGATCTGAATCCATGGGACTGCAGAGGGATGAAGTGCAGCCCTTTCGGAGAGGAGAAAAGGCTGAGCTAATCAAACAAGTACAAGAAAAGACACTCTAATGCAGTTTTCTATTCTCTTCCAGGTTTTGGTGCCAGCTTTATATTAATTTCTCTCTGCTTGTGGAGAAGTGTCGGTGCTCAGTCGAGTTAGAGAGCTCTCACAGTTTTTGTAGCATCAAAATAGTTCTCAGAATAGTTCTGCTTTATTGTGTTCAACATACATCTTATATACCATTAACTTACAAGCCAGAAATTCCTGTCCCTTTAATCAGTTAATTGGCCAAGCTTCTCCCAAACAACAGTGATAAAGGATGAAAGGTTTCTTAAGTGTGATAAGATAACAATGCATACAGACAGAACCTCCTGCTTAGCCTTAGACGCAAACAGATACCATTTGCTCTCTGTCTTACTCCATACTCCCAAGGTTTCACAGTGATAGCATCTATCAGGGAGTCTGATAACGCGTTGCTGACTGCTCACAGTTACATTTTCCCCCACAGAGAAGGAAGCTTCTGTGGGGGATGTACCTAGGAGTACAGTTACAGTGATTCTGTTCTAAGGAGAAGTCACGTGGTTTCTGATCACAGAATCACAGAATGGCCAGGGTTGGAAGGGACCTCAAGGACCATGAATCTCCAACCCCCCTGCCACATGCAGGGCCACCAACCTTCCCACCTAATGCTAGACCAGGCTGCCCAGAGCCCCATCTAATCTGGCCTTGAACACCTCCAAGGACGGGGCATCCACAACCTCTCTGGGCAGCCTGTTCCAGTACCTCACCACTCTCTCTGTAAAGAATTTCCCCCTGATGTCCAAGGAAGTGTGATGAGGAAGTGTGGAAGGCAACTCAATCATTCGTTCGTTCGTTCGCTCGTTCATTCGTTTGTTCTTTCTTTCGATTTGCTAAGAATGTGGCTTAGCTTTGCTGGGTGTTCTAAAAAAGATCTGCAAAGTCAAATTCTGACAATAATGTGTTGTGCAACTCCAGTGCCACTGTTAATGTTGATGTAATTGTATTAATAATATCATGCACTGAGGGTGCTTTGGTTGTAACCTCAGTTAATATGTAAACTCAAAGATTGGTTTAATAAAGCTGGTGGTCCTTTGCAAATAAATTTCTTGTCTGTGTTTAGACCTTATGACATTTCTAACACAGTGGAAAAGCAGATAAAATGTAATGTTAATGTGATTCACATTAGTTTTACAGCTTTGTTTTAAAGCAACAAACCTGAACAGATATTAATTTGTCTGTTAAGGACAGGCCAGTCAGAAGCAGTCAAATTCAAGTTGGTATTTTTCAGCGACCTGCAGGAACATTAAACATCTACCAGGTAACTGCTAGCCTGTCACTGCTGTGGGCTCAATGCCCGTTAGTCAGATAGGCATTAAAGAGCTATTTAACATTCAAAAGAGTAATTACAGCTGTTCAGACCTGTGAGGCTCAGATGTGGGTGATTCTGTGCAGGAAGGATGGAGCAGAATTTGCCCATGTAATTTGTGCAGCAAGTTTTGCTTCATGTCACAGAATAACAGAATGGCCAGGGTTGGAAGGGACCTCAAGGATCATGAATCTCCAACCCCCCTGCCATATGCAGGGCCACCAACCTCCCCATTTAATACCAGGCCAGGTTGTCCAGGGCCCCATCCAACCTGACCTTGAACACCTCCAGGGATGGGGCATCCAAAAATGTCCTAAAATTTCAAAGTAATAGTTAATTCAAACCTAGACATTAAAGATTCCTAGCACATGAAACACTAATCTTGTACCCACAACCCTCATCTGCAAAGATGAACCGCCAGCAAGCTTTTTCCAATCATCAAAAATTTATTTGGATTCTCAATCAAGAAAGAATTTTGCTTTATAAAAGCAGGTAATAACAGAATCAGAGACTTATTTAACAATCAATTGGCACAGCTGCTGCTTTAAGTTGGTTTGTCATTTCTCTCCCTTGTGGAGAAAAGGTATCCTCCCTCTTCTATCCCTGCTTACATTTCAACTCTTGTTCCTAAAAAGTCAGAGGTTTTAATTTAGAACTGTTGTGGGAATTAAGGACATTATTCAGAGGTGAGTAGGAGCAGATCTCCATGTGCAGCTCAAACCTGGAGCCCTTTTCTGTCTTTACTTTCTCCCCTTCTTTTGAGGGAGTCACAGAGCAGTGTTCAGCTGCCCAGCAGCGCAGCACCACACTGAACACCCAGCCACTATCCTCAGAGATCTCTGAAGCACGGCGCAGCTCTTTCAGCTCTCAGGAGAGTACAGTTTGACAAGGTGCTGGAGCTCTGTGGCATAGCCTGTGATTGGGCAGCGCTGGTGAGTCTTCACATAATTATACACACAACGGTAGCAAAACACAAAACCAGAGGTGGACAGGGCTGTGGCATTGACTCGGACTTTGCGGCACAGAGGGCACACTGTCTTCAGTTTGGGTAAGAGAGCTGAGCCCACCCCGTGGTCGAGATGCACAGGGGGTGGAGGAGTAGGGAGCGCTGTCAAAGACTTGATAGTTTCTTGGTTTTCAGAGGAGTACCACCAGTCCAGGAACTGGAGGAAGAACACACATACAGACAGGCCGGTGGACAGCGAGAAGGCGATGCCACCCAAAGCTTTCCTCACTGCTGACTGCACCTGTGTTTTAATGCTGCAGCAGGGAGAGAAGATATGGAGAAATAATTAGTGCTGTGCATTAGTCCATCTGCAAACTGACAAAGAGCTGGGGAGAAAAGAACTGCTTTATACAGCTTAACACTAAACTGTGACATCATCGTATCTCGTGTTGGTAACAAAGTATCTGCTAGGATGTTTTTCTCAGATCTTTGTACACTAAGAAAGCTTCGGGTCATGCACCAACTAAATTAGAAGAGTTTGGATTTGAAGGGGCTGGGACCACAGATCATTTCACTCATGGATCAACGTTTTACAGAACATTAAGTATGTTTATGTCTTAGTTGCAGCTCACAAAAATCTAGTAGCAGAATCCTTTTAGCAGAATTGTGCAGTCAACTTTCCTTGTTAGAAACATGTAGGTAACAACAGAATAGAATGGAGGTTAGAATGTAAAAAAAAAAAAAACAAAACAATTTTATTACCACTCAATCCTGTGAAGCTAATCCCTGCTACCCGTTTCCATATTTTCAGTACTTATATTCCTTCTGGAGCGTGTTTTGAGAGAAGGAAACTTAATCTTAAAGGTCAATAACACTCTGGAATGCAGCTGCTGACATACCTGTGCGTTTGACTCAAGGCTGCTACAGGCAGTTTCTTCTCCAGGGCCTGGATATCCTCTGCAGTCAGTCTCACCAGGCGAACGCCAGCCAGCCACAGCAAGGGGGAATGATGCTGAGCCTTCCCAAGGATGTAGCACAACTGCTGGATCAGAAACCAGCCCTCCCAGGCCATGTTTACAAAAGGGTAGGCAGCTAGAAAGGCTCGGTAAAAACGCTTCCAGGAGGATGATGGAGGATGGATGGAGTACTCATCCTCTTCCCTAAGGCTGGACACGAGCTTCTCTAGCTTTCCTTTTAGGTAAGGAACGAGAATCAGCAACAGCAGAGACTTCCAGTGCTGCTGCTTTGGCAGGCCAGCAGTGGCCAAAGGCTGCTGTTTGCAATCTCCTGTCGGTATCCTCTTTAAGCTATAAAAGTTCTCAGAAAAGGAGGCGCTGCACCTGGCCAGGTAGTGCTGCTGGAGCAGAAAATCCAGAAGGACATAGATCTCATCAAACCTGCGCCAGAGGAGGCCGTACCGGCCAGGATTAGACTCAGCAAGCACCTGCAATGAAAGAGACACAGCGGGGATGGATCTGGGAGCGCTGCGAGTTATTCCAAAGCTACTCTGCTAGCTTATGAGAAACACAGAATCATTAAGGTTGCAAGAGGCCTTTCAGGTCCCCAGATCCACCCCCAGCCCAGCAGCCCACTGACCACATCCCTCAGTGCCACATCTCCATGGCTCTGGAACACCTCCGGGTCAGACTCCCGCCGGTCCCTGGGCAGCTGTGCTGAAAGGCAGCGGAGGTGAAGCCTGGTGGGTTTCCTGTCCTGAGCACCCTCCCTTCAGGCCCTTACCTTGACCAGGTGCAGCAGGGCGGGCTTCACGGCCGCCATCAGGCTGTCCTGAGCCACCGCCTCGAAGATGGAGGGCCGGTCATCACCGGC